CTTATCACCGCATTTGCGCTCACTATCGACAAAACAATCAAATTTGTTCAAAACTTTTTTTTTTTAATCAGTCCAAACACATTTTAATTTTTATTCAGGAGTTATGTATATACAAAACTTTAACTTTTTATGAAATAAAAAGTTAAAAAAAAAAGATAAAAAAAAAAAGATAAAAAAAAAGTGTAAATTTTTTTTTTCCAGTTTTTTTCCACTCCCATCCTGTAGCCTACTCGCGCCCCCCCGGGAGAGTGTCGGGCCCCCCCCGGGGGGGCGCGCCCCACCGGTTGAGAACCACTGAGTTACAGCATGGTAGATCTTATAGACTGGACTTGAGCAGTGTTGATCTAGAGCAGAGGTGTCAAACTGGTTCCAGAAAGGGCCGTGTGGCTGCAGGGTTTCTTTCCAACCAAGCAATAGCACACCAGACTCCAGTCATTTCATCAAGTCATTATGTTCAGATTGGACTCACTTGATGAGATCAACTGAGTCCAAAATCCCGGATGATTTTGAAATTCCGACCGGACATTTTTTTAGGTATGAAAAGTAGGAAATGTCAGGGAAAAAGAGGATGTCTGGTCACCCTACTATATCAACAATTCGATGTTTCAGTGAGTGAGTGCTTGTTGCTATGATGTGTCTTTACTCAGCAGATTTGCTCGCTGTAAACCAACCAATCAGTGCACAGCTCATCTAAATATTGATGATCATACCATAAAAGGAAGAAAACATGTTGTTGCATTCTAGGGCTTTTAACCAGGCTTGCATTAGGGCTCATAGAACAGCAAATATGCCATTTTCAGCCCAACCAATGTTACACACCCTTTTCAGAGACCTTAATGACCAGCACATAATACCCTATAGAATCATTCTATTACCCCTTTAAATAAGCTCAATGAGTTCAATAAGTTGATAATGAAGTTATTTTCTAGGAACTCCTTTAGAACTTCTGCAATGATTTTACAGAAAATAGTCATATAAGAATATTATGGAAATTGTCAAGTTGTTCTATAAAACACTCCTAATGATGATGCCATTTCAGTGGCTCTGAACATGGTCAAATCAACACTGTCAGATTTGATTTTAACACCCTTGAAGTGTCTATATGGGTCCACACCATCGAGTGTTAATTTGACTCTTTTTGGAGAGTTGTCATTGTAACTCTTATTTATAGTTAAATAATAAATCTTTCTGGAGTTGATCATGTAACACTCAATTACACCAACTGGGTGTTGGAATTGGATTATTAACACTTGGAACGTTTTCCTAACTACATAGGAGTTATTCTCTAAATACTAAAAATTAAACTTTTCTGAACATATAAAAATCCCTTTGGAAAAAATAAATAAAGAAGCAATGTTTGTTTTTTTCATCAAATCTTTATTTCAAAAGTGCATCACAATTGGAAAATATTTTTTAAACATGTAACAATGTGGAACCTTTGCCAATTTCCACTTCAATACTTTGCTTTGTAACAAAATTCTGAAGAGAACTAAATTTAAACTAAAAAATATTTTCATGCACTGCAGAGGAGGTTAATTTCTCCAATTAAACTTCCGTTTGCTGCATTAATTTTTATGGGAGACAGTCTTCTGATAGATGGGGATTCACACAGCTCCATATGTTCATGATAACATTTCCCAAATAATTCTTTTAGGTGTATTGATGTTGATGAGTTTAGCCAAAAAATACATAGAATATTCATCTACAAACCCTTTTTTCAACACTATAGTTACAAAGATTACAAGTTAGCTAAACATGATTAGGCTATCACCAAACTATGTAGCTAATACAATGTAGCAAATGTCTATCACACGGCTCTATCTTGAATAAAAAAAAAACACCATAGAAGAAAATAAAAAAATTTAAACCATTTGAGAAAAATTATTTACCAGGCTGGGTAAAAAGGTCTGACAGTAAAATGGAGAGCAAAGTTTTCCTCAGCTTTGTTCGGTATCTGTAGCATTGGAGGCACAGTCTGTGAATGTACTCTTTGTGTGTCAAATCCACTATGGGACTTCAGAGTTGATAGTCAAAGAGTTATTTTTTCCATTTTAACACCTCCAGATTTATTATGTAACACTACTTTTTAACACTCAATTTTAACTACTAACAAGTTACACCTCAGAGTTATCTTGGTATAATATACTATTAAGAGCTAAATTAACAAAGTCTGCTAACACCATATTATTATTAACACTTTGATTTGCAATTAACGTTTAAAACTTATTCCAGACAATGATAAACATTTATCTTTATGCTAAATACCTCTGAATTTTACTAGGGTTTTAAATAATATAGACATTTTTACACATTTTTTTTAATTTTCAATCAAGAATTTTCACCAAGTCTGTTTCTGTGTTGGAGCTGCACAGCGGTGCAGTTCGTAGCAGTGTTGCCTTGCAGAAAGATGGTCTCAGGTGGTCTCAGGTTCTCCATGTAGGACAGTTACAGTATATTTCACTGTTGTCATACACCAGGAAGACGACTTCTGACCAGACTGGACAATCCTCCCTGAAAAAGACAAAACAAGTCTAAATTTGATTATAAATGGAGGATAAAACTGAATCCAAAGAGGTTTATGTGGGTAATGTTGAATCCTTTCATGGTTTGGGGTCAGACATTGGTCATTTTCACACCTGAGATGTTTAGATGTTTTCTTTTTAATGACCTCTGGTCAGTTTCCTCATTGATGTGCTTCGTATGGATGTGAACTCAGTGATAAATACACTAGAGCGTAGACCAGAAGAACTGCATCTAGACCTCCTGATCTGATCTCTGTTAGACACAACTACCTGGTCTACCCTGCAAGCTTGAGTGAAACTTCTTCCCAGATGTGTGCTGCATTGTGGGAAATGGAGTAAAACTTTAGAAGCCAAAATTAAATGGAGTGCTCAGCTGGACGAACAATGAGGTCCATTTCATCACTGATTTTTGGGGCTGATTATTATATTTCTCATCTCCTAAATAAGACTCAGAACAGTAAAAATGTTAAAATGTTTCAGCAAGCAGGTTATTAATCTACTGCTCAGATAATTTCACCTAAAATTAAAGCCCGAAACTCGCTAACAATATTATTGGGGTCTCTGTGTTTTCTAACATTTGGTTTTGCTTTTCTGGAAACATCTGAGCCATCAACAGGAGTAAAGCTTTAGTGGGTTTTCAGTGAGAAATTCCTGTTTGCTTGGAAATTTCTCTGTTTCAAAGTAATCTAAACCAAATAGACCAAAGTAACAAGTAAAACTCAACTTCTGGACTAAACTAAACAAACTAGAGGTATGAAAAACTCCTCTCATTGTGTAACATGTTTCACTTTGGGGCTCAGCCACTAAATTAAACGTTTTATAATCTTTATGTTTTTATTGTCTCTTATCTGGACAAATCAATAATTGATCAGTATTGATAAAACCTTCCTTGGTCACCTCACACCACTGTTTAAAAGCACCTTAATCCTTCATCCTAACCCTTTTGTTTATTTACTGGATTTAACTCTTTAAACTATTTAAAGCTGCAGTAGGTGATTTTCTAATCTAATGATCAGACTGCAGCAACATGAATCGCTCCCCCAACAATATGGAGGCTGTCCTGGTACAAAATAGCTTCTGCAACGTCCGCATCAGCTGTCTTGTCAAGTGAAGATGAGGTTTGTTTACACAGATAATTTGATAAATAACAATAATACCGGAGCTGGTGTGAGCCATCAGAATTGACCAAGAATCTGGGACAGGAGTCAAAACTGAGCGAAGGTTCAGTTGCCTCCATTTCAAACCTGTTTAGTGACCATGATCATGATGACAGAATTTAAAGGCAGAGATCAGAGTTACGTTACTTTTAGTATACAGGCCTGCTGTCGTCATGTTTGTTAGGTTTCAGTTATTGGTTTTCATTTTGGCATCTTGTTCAAACTGTATTTGAGCGACAGTTTAAGATTTTAAATGAGTTTGAATTTAATGTAAGCTTTTCATTGAAAGGTAATTTGGAATGAAACATCTGGTTACTTTAGTAAATTAATCCTTATATCATGGAAAACTTGGTGTGAATATGGGTGCAACTGGGTGGAAATAAATGCTTTTAGAAGGCTTAAAATTATTTCAATATGTTAGTTGGTTAAATTAATTTAATTTGAATAATCATCTGAGAAAATAAATCATTAAAATGCTTGAAATCTTTTTATTTTTGCAAATTTTAATAAATGCGTAGTTGTAAGCCATACAAAGAGCATCCCAGTGGGGCCCAACAAAGTTTTAGTTCAGGAGCTCCACCAGGGTTGTTTACTGCTTTTATTTATCAATATATACATGTATGTATGTATGTAAATGCATAAATTCTAAATTAATGTTATGACTTCCCTTTTTATTATTTTTATCTAGTATTACTTTTGTCAATTTCCATTTATTTTACTGGCAGCTGATTTTTTTTCTCTCTTTAATGGAAGGGTGTGTAAATTTTCGAGCACAACTGTCTGTAGAAGCTTTTGTTGGTCTATAGCCCAAAGATGTAATCTTTTAAAAACATATGAGAAAACAATGGGAGCTAATTATTTTTATTAAATTCTTATTATTATTTTTATTACCGGTATTATTATTCTTTAATATAACCGTCAAGACTTAAAAACTACTCTCACCTCTGATGAGGACATAGGTTACCTCCTTTCCAGGTGACATAAATATGATTCGGGTTAATTTTACAATAGATTTATTACTTATTTCTTTTTTCTTACCATATTTGTTTTTATGAATATTGTCCATTTTCTACCAATAAAAAGCTTCTGCATTTATAAAAAAATATATTTATGCAACAGCCATAGTTGACATTTGGAAATAAAACCAGCTAACAAATGATAGTATTAAAAAGCTCATTCTTTAATCGTGTCTATATACTAAATATATAATCTAAATAACCAAAAGATTCTGTTTAATGTTTTCTAATATCTGGAGTAATGTTTATCTGTCGGAAGATAGATAATGTTGACTAACCTGAGCTTAAGTAATAATGACTTTAGATCAATACTTGCCGCATGTTTGTCTTGTTGCGTTTTCCTTCCTGATCATCATCCAGACGACCAGAGTAAAGATCAGAATAAAGCTGCTGAAGACCAGTGGAGCCCAGTCTACATAAAACCACATAAAACATAATCGTCTAATAAGAACAGTTTTTTGGATAAATTACTTATTTTCTTCACAGTTAGTTGAAGCTTACATTGACTTTGATGATCAGAACTTTCTGTCTCATTAAACCAACAGAATGTCGTCAGGTTAACATGTAGAGTCTTGTTTCCTGCAGGGTTGGCTGCTACACATCTATAAGACGAGTCTCTGTCATTTCTGTAGACAGTGATGGATAAAGAGACAGCAGAAATGCTCTGGTTCAGTATCTCCTCATCTTTGTACCACAGCAGAGGCGTCAGATTGTCCACAGAACAGATCAACCAGCAGATCTCAGAGCTCACAGTCAGAGTTTCTACTGCAGGAGTCGGAGGAGCATCTGCAACAAATACATGGAGATCAGGAATCAATCATAAGAATAAGGAATTTTTTATGTGCACGTGTAACAGTTAAAAATGCACTTAATTAATTATTGTTTTTAAATGATGTTATATGAAGCTTTTGTGATCTTATTTAGCAATGTTATTTTGCATTATTTAATTGATTTTCCCTGTGAGAACATCCTCTCTGTACTCTGTCTCTTTTTGTCCCTCCAGGGCTCCTGTAGGTCTTTCTGGCCCTCATACCTTCTCCCTTCCACTTCCCTTCACAATGCTGTTCTGCACTGCTGCAGGTAAAGTCGTGGTAAAATTTACTGATAAAGTTATGTATCTTATGTGAAAGTAGCCATGTATGCTGAAGTCTGTAGTAAATATTATTTACTTTTATTTAATCTTATGTTGTGAAGGGGGCTGCAATGAGGTACAGTGGGTAGATCTACAGTACTGCCATGCAGCCAGAGGGTTCTGGGTTTGATTCCTGTTCTCCCCATGCATGTGTGGGTTCTCTCTGGGTACTCCAGCTTCCTCCCACAGTATAAAAACATAACTGTTAGGTTAAATGGCTTCTCTAAATTGTCCTGTTTTGTCTCTGAGTTTCCCTGTGACAGACTGGCGACCTGTCCAGGCTGTACCCAGCCTCTCGCCTGTAGACTGCCATGACCCTGACAAGGACTAGGTGGAAGAAAATGGATGTTGTGAAGCTGTTTTGACCTTTATTATGAGATTCACTTAGTTTTTGTTGTCATAGGCTGTTTCCCAATCTAACCTCTCATCACTATAGAGAGCAGAGACTATATGTGAGCTCAGTTAACTCTTAGCTCACTTCTTTTCTCTCGTGTTGGTCACCTGACTCCAGCTCCCCACAGTGCCTGCACCATCTTAGTTCTCTCTCACATCCTAAACAAATTGCATAATCCTTTGTGAGGATAGGTCTCTCAAAACCATCTGAGATATATCTGCTTGTCTAGTGACCATGGTTGCATGCTACCTTTCAAGGTGCATTGTGAGAAATTTTGAGTACACTACTTTTTAATTCCCCAGAAGTTTAGACACTCATATAAAAACGGTGTAACCACAATACAATGGTCTGTATAGGGGTTTGGGTGGATGTTCAGACAGAGCGTCTGTTTCTGCCTGCCGCACTCTGCTATCTAATATGTACTAACGCCAGACAGCTTCTTTAAAAAAGATATAAAATTTATTTTACTTTAACAAACTTTTGTATGAGCAACTTGTTCAATTGGCTTCTATAATCCTACCTTGCAAAATCTTATAACTGTGCTCTGCTTTTTGTTTATGTAAAACTGAATAAAAAATATCTTGGGTTAAAAAAGATATAAAACTTTTTTTCTGGCAAATATTCCAGAATCCTGAGAAAGTAAACATAAGTAGAATCTTATATTCAAGGCTTAAAGTGAAATTAAGCCTAATTTATGGTCTGATTAGTACTGAGATGTTGTCACTCACCATAAACTGTTAGATTGTAGGAAGTATAGAAAACTCTTCCTTTTTTAGAGTCAATGGTATAAATTCCTGAGTCGCTCCTCTGCATGTCTGTGATCATAAAGAGTCCAGAGGTTTTGCTCCAGTGAAGTTTGTTCATGTAAATCTCCTCAAAAGTCTGAAGTTTTCCATCATTTATCGAAGCAACGATTCTTCCTTTTAAAAGAAATCCAAACTCCAGCAGAGGATCTGGGAAAGTGAGGTTTCCACCAACAGCTCCGATCAGATTCTTCTTTACTTCTTCAGCTGCAGATAATCTCATCATCACTGTAAACACCAACAGACAGAGACTGATTAACACTAAATTCACTAGAACAACCACTGACACAGACAGATCTAAATAAAAACAGGTTTTAACGAGATGTATTAATTAGAAAAAGTTTAACCATAGTGCTGTATCCATGTTGTTTATTACAGGTTCACTTTAAAGCTTTAACCAAAGGAAAACTGATCAGTTTTTATCAGAACTAACAT